TTGTTTCTCCTTTGAAACTAGATTAAAGTTAAAGAAAGCATGGACTGAAATTTCAACCTGATAATGATAAAAAGTCAGGGGGGAACTAAAGTTCACAAAGACCATGAGTGTCGAAACCAAACTGCATGGCAATTGATCTAACAGCTGTCTAGATATTTTGCTCTGAACTACAAATCAGTGGAAAAGTCAGAGGATTGCCAAAAGTCAGTAGGACTCATCCTCTGAAGACCATGAATGTATGTGAATATATCTGTGAAAAAATATTAGATAAAATGTGATAAAATATTTTATTATTTTTTGTATGAACCTGGTGAGATCAGATACAACCAGGACAAACAATGTTCAAAACAGCATCACATGAAATAAGTAATATGATTTTTTTTTCAGTATATTAAAAGATTTTAGCTCATATTTTAAAGACAGACTCAGCAAGATCGCAGCCACTGTGTTCATAAAGAACATATGTGGTATAATAGTTAATGATAGATCATAACTGCCAAGTAAGACAACTGATTTGCTAATATCAGTTGTATTACAGCAATATCTCTACCATTAACTATATGGGTCATACTAGACCATCTATGTAGAAGCAAAACTCGAGTACATCAAAATGAGCAAGAGTGTGTTTTATTGATTATAAATACAAGTTTTCCACAGTCAAGATGAAGAATGTGCCATTTTCTCCTGCAAAGGTTACATATAATGGTTTTGCTTTAACTAAAATAGCAAGATATCGGCTTAAATGTCACACTGAGGTGGACTTTTTTTTTACAGTGTAGCAGCTCTTGGGGGGAGGAGCGAGTGTTTGGAGAGGAAACATCAGGTGGTTGGACCACTGTGCCTGGACTCTTCTGATTTATCTGTGCATTTCAGAATTATGTTGCTGACCTCTTCACCTCGCTGCCATTTGTGTTGCCCCCCAGGTTCTGTTCAGGCAATCACCCCCACCCCCCAGCCTGTACCAACCACAGAGAATACCCCCCACTACAAGCTGCAGTGTCATCTCCAGTACACGCACATATACACTTGATCAAAAATACATTCCAGTCTCAGTAACAGCCAAGCTTTGATTCGCTGCTATTTAGGCTATAGCCGGTTGGGCAAAGGCCTGTGAACCTTTCTCTCAAGGCTGATTTTGCAATGTATTGTACTGTATTGTGTCATGTACTGCAACATCTTTGACTTAAATGCCCTACAAGATCACTGAACAGAGGTCAAGGTTTATTGAGCTTTTATTGTCTACTATGCAGATGTTTACTTATTTTTCTAATGTTTATTATGTTGGGTGATAATTACAGCCTACAGAGAAAGTCTACTGTGAAAGTGAATAGTGTCAATCTGTCTTAGCAGAAAGGTCACAAAACAGCTTCCAGCATATTTACTGTAAATGATGAGAAAATGTCTTTAGATGACCACTCAGTTTCTTGATATATTGCCAGTGTTAAATAAAGGAACATTTTTGACATTCTTTAATATGTAGTTGAAGGAAAATATACTTGAAAAAAAAAATCTTACTGAAATCTGCAGGAAGAACTAGGAAATAGTGACATGTCAGGTCAACTTGAATGTGCCTTTTGGAATTTAGAGTACAGCACCATCTATGGATGTAAAGAGGTAAAACCATGAGCGCTCACAAATCAGAGACTACCTATAAAATTATAAACCTCCACAATTACTAATACCTTAGCAACCTTTTATCATATAAAAACACTTCATTATAACTAATTTGCATATTAATAGTTTTGCAAAGTTGCAGCATTCAGATAAATTATGTTATGCTAAGGAACACATGTCTGGTTATAATAAAAACAAACAGGATAAATAAAATGGGATGTAAATACTGACCGTTGTGGTAAACTTCATTGACTGTTTCTATAGTAGAATAGTAATCACATAATCATTATTGTATGAATTGTGTATATACACTGTATATGCATCAACTGATTAGCATTTCACTTTCAGCACAAAAACGTCTATGTCATTAAAGATCACCTACCCTACTACTTATTCATATGTGTTTATCAAGGTCAATTGTTTTAATAAATACTAATACTCAGTACTAATAAGGCATGCTGATGATGAAAATGGCAAAAATCGAAAGGCTGGTATAAATAAAAGTACATATGCAAAATGTAACATGTATGTAGCTGTTTTGATATGAGCGTCTTTTTATTAATTTGTGGTGATGTATTTTTCAATTACAGGACTATATTGTTTTATGTCATGTTAAAAATATGTTTTCTTCTTCACAATTATCCACCAGATTCTGAAAATCATAAATAAATTAAATCATATATAATGCATAACATCAAATTCTTTAAACTGGAAAGCTATCCCCATAGCTCTGTCATTATGTGAAACTTGCTGGGAAAATTAAAAACCTGTATGTTTGCTTATTTTAAAAAGTGAAAAATCATCATGATTTTAAAGAACAAATTGTGCACTGGAATGGTATGGGACCAAAATACATTTCTGATCTCCCTGAAGAATAGAAACCAGAAGGGCTCTGAGACCCTCATGAAGCAGTCAGCTGGTAGAATCTCAGCTCAGAACAAAACAGGGTGAAACTGCTTTTAGCTACTATGCTGCACACAGATGGACCCAACTTCCTGATGACCTTAAATGCGGTCCAACTGAAAACTCAGCTGTTTTCCTGTGCCTTTGGTTGACGGGTTTCTATGCTATGCTTTCTGCTCTGTAACTGCTAGATAATTGTGTTTCAAACATTTTTCTTTATCTATTTGTTTCTAATCTTCATTTAATGTGTCTTAGCTCATTTTAACAATGTTTTATCTTTATTTTGTTTTAACCAATTTTATTCTGGTTGTAATGCTTATTATTATTAATGCTGTTACTGTCTTTCTTTGCCTGTGTAAAGCACTTTGAATTGCCTTTGTGTATGAAATGTGCTATAAAAATAAAGCTGCCTTTAAAACTGAAAACTGACTTTAGTTCTATCTCAGCTATTGGAAGAACATTTATTATTTCTCTACCTACATTGCTGTGGCTTTAAACCTGTCTTCATGGTTAGACTGTCTGGGAATTTACAGAATCTGAAGAATTACAGAAAAAATACAAATCCTAACAAATACAACAGGGGATCTATATTACTATAGTAGAGGGTATGTGTCTCAATGGCTTATAACAGAAGGTTGATACATCAGCTTTCTCCTAAACCTTCAGCATTAAACCCTGTGGGCCACCAGCTATTTTATCAGCTACAGCAACATCTCCCATTTTATTGAGACTTTTCTATGGCAGTTACTTGGAGCTGACAAATGTATACCCAAGTACAGTTCAGCAGCTGATTGTCTCCTGCTCCACTATGTCCCTGACCTGTCATGTCTGTTAAAAGGACCCAGATGCTGACAGGTGATACTGACTAGCAAATGAGGCTTTAATACTGACAAAGGTGCAGACAAGCAGAATGACACAGTGACAAACTAAGGTAATGCAACAAGGCAAATAACTAACAAACAAAGCTGATTGTAAAGAAGCACTAACTCAGGTGAGAGCACGTGCAACAGGGAACCACTCGACTGAAGGAAAACATTTTACCGTGTGCTGTAGTAACATAAAGAGGGACGAACTCAATACAGGGACAGAAACAAGCTAGGACCTGACTACACTACCACAAAGTATTCTTCCAGGAAGCAGAACAAACAAAACTACTAATAGGAGCTACAAAGAAATTAACAGATCAGGTGAACAAAGGCAAGAACAAACCATGTCCGGGGTGATAACAGGTGTCCACAAATAAGAACATCCATGAACACACAGGGCCAGAGCAGGGCAGAGTCCAACAGGGATATAAACAGAGAAAAAGAACTGGAGTTAAAAAGTCTCTAGTGATGAAAGTCAGCTGTGGCTAATTGGAATAATGGTGGAGCTGGGCATGGGGAGCACTGGGGAAGAAATGTGCCAAAAGAAAAGTCTGAACAGGAAAAAGCTGGGAAACATGAAATATGGATAACACTTTACACTAACTCTCCATGTTTAGCATTTATAGGCAGTAGATACAGTAAAACATTGAATAAATGCTTTATAACTTACTATAATGTATTTATAAGCAGACATGGTTTTAATGTATGTGTTACCAACTGTAACTCCACCTGTGAGCACTTAAAACTGGAGGATGATGTAAAAACAGATCACAGTAGTAACCAACACTCACTCTACAAACTCTACAACTCTACTACAAACATTTACTTAAGTAAAAGTGCAAAAGTATTAGCATTAAAATATACTTAAGGTACCAAAAGTAAAGCTACTCAGTATTTAGAATGGCACATTTCACATTAATGTATATCAGATTATTGGATTATAATTACTAATACATTATTGTGCTCATCACTTTAATTTGGAGGTGATAACGCTGGAGCTAATGTCAACCACTTGACATTCTTACTACTTACAAGCTGAAGTGCTTGCTGGGTAGCTTGTGAATTTTCCACCAAGGATCAATACATTTTATACTGTGTTTGTTAATTAATTTGATTATGAAAAGTATCTAGTAACTAAAGGTAGGCTATTTTATAAATATAGTGCATTCAAAAATACAGTATTTGCCTCTAAAATGTAGTGAATACTCAAGTAAAATGCAAATATTTTTAAAACAGCACTTACCACTGTTCAAACACACTCATCAAACTCTCTGGAATTATATAAGAAAGTAAATGAGTAGGCATAGAGCCCAGGGAGCTGGGTAGTTCCTGACATGCCTGTTAGCTGAATTAGAGGAGACTACATCCCACCAGGTGTCCTCTGCTTCATCCCATATGCTTAGATGTAGGCCTACTGTAAAACCCATGTCTTAGAAGACTCTTCCTTGTTTGTTGACTGACTGGGGTGCCCCATGATTCAGGAAGCAGTCGTTTGCGCTGTGCACTTCGCAGTGTGTGTCTGTATGGGTACTTGCAGCGGTGACACGGAGTGTATCTCACTGGGCAAATGAGACTCCAGAAGCTCAGGCCGGCCCCTCGGCCTGAGATCATTAATGCACGCCCTTTATTTCTGTGCGTTTTCATCCTTGGACTCAAGCGCTGGGGCACAGAGCTGCTCGGAGCATCAGAGAGGAAAGAAGCTTTTCACTATGAGTCTCCGCTTCTGCCAAATCATCCCTGCGCTTGTGCTGCTGCTACTGGCAGTAGTCGGGATCCTGCTGGTGGTGCTTACAGCGAAAGAGGTGGAGATGCCTCCTGAAAACATGGTAATTAATAAGCTGATAATCAGTGCAGAGGTTTGGATAACTGCCTGTGAATATATGTGTTTATTACTGTTATCATCATCTTCGTTAATAGTACTATTGGTGGTATGGATACACTTGTCTTCAAACGGAAATAATTATTTAAATACTTTTTGGCACTTTGCAGGGTTTTTAGCAGGGCCGCTTAAAAGTTTGTCCATTTGTTAAGGACAATACAGAAATTAGGGGGTCAGAAAAAGGAGGTGTTATTTCCTTTGGCTGATGTTTGAGCAGTTTCTCAGGAGAACATTAGAGGGTGTTTGATTACATTTTTTTTCTTTTCCTTAAATTGTTAAACATTTTAATGGATTCCTCAGCTGAGGGCTACATATTGAATATCAGAAAGGCTGTATTAAAATATAACGATTATACAAGTATCTTGTTAGTTCAGAACAAGTATTCATACATCTCAGTTGCTGCTGTTATCAGCCAAGGAAAGACTGAACTATAAGGCCACTTTGAGCCTCATGTGTCCTGATCTTAACTTACTCAGTAATAATTCTGAGTGTGACCTAAATGTACAAAATGAAACACGCAGCTCTTACCTCAATGTGTGGCGCGAAATAAATGCCAACCACTGCACCCCTTAAAGGTTACGGAAGGAAATGGTGCAGAGCACCACTGAGAAGACAAGACAGAAAGCACAAAGAGTACAAGATAAAAGGAGCAGACTGATTCATTCATGTGCTCCTCCTTTTGTTAACCTCACAGTCACTTTGATAATATTTTAAAAGGGTCCACAGTTATTATTCTGCCTTATTCTCTCTTTGGCCTTTGCCTAAGGTATAATTCTTCAATAGAACTTTTTGTTTTGAAGTTATTATTGCAGAAGCACACAAAGGGAGCCAAAGTCAACATTGCTCAATGAATCAAAAAGACACCACAATACTTAACATTATAGCCCATGTTGTATCAGTAACTGGGTAAACCTTGTTACTGTCATGAGCAGAAGTTTGTTTGCACTAAAACAGAACTGATTCAGCCATAAAAGGCAATAATGAACATGTGGAGAAACTGCAACCTTTACAAAAAAAACCCATTACACATGAACTTCTGTGTTTGATGCAAGTACATCTTGTCAATACCACAGTAAAGTATGAACTAAACAGAACAAGCCTACACAAGTTGGACAACTGAAACCACAGTTGCATCAGTAAATAAAATGCACATACAAAACAACATTTTCACACCAGTTAATTTCCTGCTACAGTTGTAGCAAATGAACCAGTGTGTTAGACATATATGAGACAGGTTTTAGTTTTATAAGCAACACCACTTCTGTCCAGCATTGTTGCTAGCTAAAATGAGGTACTGGAGGCATACTGCATATTCTGGTGAGCATATCGCACATTGCTTGTAACATTTTCTGCTGTGTCTGTTTTAGTATGGAATCGTTCTGGATGCAGGCTCATCCCACACCTCCATGTACATCTACAAATGGCCAGCTAATAAGCAAAATGGCACTGGTATTGTTACCCAGCATAGCGAGTGCAAAGCAAAAGGTGAGCTCCTCACATCTAAGAGACAAGTTTGGCCTAACAAACACTACATCACTGATTGACTGGTACCAGTTTTTATAGGACGATACTGACAAAAGATGCCGGTAGTCATGTTGCTGAAACTCGCTACAGAACTCTCTGTTACCTATCTGCCCAAGTATTTGACTGGTAGAGCTAGTTATGGATAGCCTGCAGCCTGAAAGGAAGTAGAGAGGTGTTGCTTGAGGGGGAAGTCTTTTTCCTGAATTATTTGGCATTTACTCAAACCTGTATCAAAGTGGAGAAAATATCCAGGGATACCAAAACTCTCCACTGAATTCCTTGTCTGGTTTTTATGTTAATAATGTATGTTTGCAAATGGTTTGTGCTTAATTTGCTCTAGTTTTGAAAGATCCATCTTTGAAACTTGACTATCAGGTACAATTGCAATGCTCACAGCATTCAAAATGTACTTTTACAAATGATTTTTTAAAATTCCAATCATCTTCATTATTAATCTCAAAGATATATTACTCAACAGTAGTTAAGTAAAAACAAACCTATCTATATAAATACCATGAAAGGTGAGTAAGTGTGCTTTGTTTCTGCCCTAACCTGAGGCTGTACTTTCACTTCCACAGTGATATCCTATAAACTCCTGATATACATGTGTGTGTTGCACAAGACTTTTGTTCCTAAGTGGTCTACTTCCTCACCAGGCTGTCCATGCCATCTTAGTTGGTGTCAGTTGTTCCTTTTCTTGCTTAAGTTTGTTTCTGTAGTTCCCTTAGAAACACCAAGAGCCTTTATCTTGCTGGATAATTCATGCTTTAAGACAAGGAAGTCCAGTTTTTGAGAAGGTCAGGTGGAGTTCTTTATAAGCAGAACTACTCTCTCTTTCTGTCAAGGTGGAGGGATCTCCAGCTATGCAGGTGTTCATGGTGGTGCAGCAAGAAGTCTAGAAGCCTGTCTGGAACAAGCTATGAGTGACATCCCCAAATCCAGACAGCACCAAACTCCACTATATCTGGGAGCTACTGCAGGCATGAGACTCTTGAGGTCAGTAGAAATTCCTTGTTGACACAGTATATTGCACAAATATTACATACTCCTCATCAGTTATGCATTAATACATGAATGGGGATCTTAATATTGTTTAATTCTCCATTTAACAGACTAGTCAATGCCACAGAGTCAGATCGGGTGCTGAAGGAAGTGGAAGACAAACTGCGGTCTTACCCTTTCGCACTCAGAAAGGCAGCCATCCTGACTGGACAGGAGGAGGGGGTGTATGGCTGGGTCACAGTCAACTACTTACATGAAAACTTTGTCAAGGTCAGCTCTGCCTTTTTTAATCTATTCACTATATTTGATCACAGAAAGTCACAGAGGAAACAAATCCACCCCAAAGCACTTTGACAGTTACAACGGACCTGAAATGTTCTGACTGAAGTAGCACTGCTTATTATTGTTCATCCTAAAACCAGCTTATAGATCACCAACAAGCGAACTCTTGTTTCACAGTACACTGCACTGAATTCTGAGATACACTTAGCTGTGAATACCCTTTGAAAAGGTGCTATGAAAGTCAGCATCAGATTTGGGTTAAGCGTGCCTATATTTTGGCAGCAGGTGGACATGCACTGTTTCAGATGTCAGCTGTGGGTAGACAGACTGTTCTGGGCCTTTCATCTATGCAGATTCAAAAAGAAGCAAGGGCAGCTGTTCATTGTGAATGAGACCTGGCTTTGCAGCGCTAAGCTATAGTTGAAAAAGGCTCATGATTAGTTTAACTCCAGCAGAAATGGAAGCAGAGTTGTTTACTATGCTACTGTGGTGCAAGAAGGATTTAGAAGCTTTTTAAACATGACAGGCAATTTAGCACTAAATGCAAAGTATAGCGGCAGCAGATGGAAATGGGACATGTTACAGTGGTGACACTAGATGAAATGTTATTTTGATTCATCATCAGGGAATGATGAATTCTTGTACCAAACTTTATTCCAGTCCATCTAGTTGATATTGCAATTTTTCACTGAGTGAATACCTTGACCTGCTGGTGACAGGATCACTAATATTAGGATTCATCCTCTGTAAACCAGAGACCTGCAGTCACTTTAATAGAGCAGTTTCACTCTGAACCAGCAAACAGGCAACTGTATGACACTGCCATACAGCCACTTTGGTTGCATGGCTAAGGAAAAAACCTACAGATATGGGATTTGAAAATCTCTCAGTGTTTTCAGCTGCATGTGTTCCTCTGAGTAAACTCTGTTCAGTGCTGGTGTATTTCTATTGCACTAAATCAATCCAAATTCTTATGTCTTGACATGTCCTTTCTTGCCACTCAGTATGGTTTTGTCGGGCGCTGGCTGAATCCAAGCAAAGAGACAATTGGGGCTTTGGATTTAGGTGGAGCCTCCACTCAAATTACTTTTGAGACGTCAAAAAAGGTGGAGGACGAACGTAACCTGATGGAACTGACGCTTTATGGACAAACCTACCGACTATACACCCAGAGCTTCCTTTGCTATGGCCAAGACCAGTTCCTGTTAAAATTGATGGCTCATCTTATCACGGTAGTGTTTAAAAAATGTAACAATTATGGCTGCTGTTGACACTGAGTTTCATGATGTGTGCTTTTACTTAGGTTCACAATTTTTAGTGTATTACGGCAAGAAATTCAGAGGAGTTTGATATTTTGTGAATAGAGTTAGTTGTTTTCTTGCTGAGAGTTAGATGAGAGGAGGTCTGTCCATTGAGTATGGAGCTGGAGACAGTTTAGTGCAAAGACTGATACAACTAGTCTGGCTCTGTCCAAATGTAACAAAGTCCAGCTATGATAACCAGCTGCTGGCTGTAACTTCATATTTATTGTACAAACATGAGAGTAATATCAATCTTCTATCCTAATTTTCTGAAAAACTATATACCCAAAAGGTTGAACTATTAATAATAATCTGGCCCTTTATAAGTTGAGAAATTATCTTTTTTAGACTTCCAAGCACTTATATAAGCATATTTTATTATTTGGAACTGAATACTGCCAACCCAAATCAGTTGTATTCTGTAGTAACTCTCAGCAAGGTGGAGATAAAACTAGCAGCAAAAAAGTGTTCTTTTAACTGAAAGTTCATACTGTATTATAGCACATGGGTCAGTCACTGCAAAGTACCGGGAAATCGTCAATGTTTGCCTTTTTTAATAGTAACCATAGTAATTTGTGATTGCAGCAGTTTTCTGGGAAAAGTGGTGAGTTATCTGACAGAAATGCGGGTGGTGCCAATATTTCTGGCCATGACATTGAGTTTGTTTCATTATTTACACCTGTGCTTTTTTTACTGTGGCATGTCAACATGTCTTCTGTGAAAAAAGGACTAAGAGATGTCATTTCCTTCACTTTTATGTTTTTCTACCACTTTCAGACTCAAGGTGTGGCACCCCAAGTGTCTCACCCCTGCTATCCTCAGCAGTTCAATCTATCTGTCAAGATGGGGGAGGGTGTCTTTGATTCTCCATGTACTAAGAAGTACAGACCAGCCCAGTTTGACCCCCAGATGTCTGTAACAGTAGTGGGCACAGGAGATTACCAGAGCTGCCTGGACAACATAACAAACATGTTCTCCTTCAACAACTGTCCTTACTCCACATGTTCCTTTGATGGAGTCTTCCAGACCAGCGTGACAGGAAGCTTCATGGTGAGGAGGCTTTTTACACACATCACTTTGCTGTATCAGTCTTTGCTGTATTCTTTGAATTTTTTGTTATTTGAAAATGAACAAATGCAAGGTGTCTATCCATTAATTCATAGCTTGATTGTCAGGTCCGCTCGGCGCGACCTGCCTCTCTTCCACCTTTTTCTCCTCTGCTCTCGACCCTGCGGGCTCTGCACTTCAGCTGTGTGGCATTCCAGTAATTAGCGACCCGTTTGTCGGTGCGTACAGCTGGGGTGCATCCCAATGATTACCTGTCCCCCTTCTTTATACCTCTGGCAGACGCTCCGTCATCACTGGAGCATTACGTTACCTACCTTATTTAACTGAAATAATATACCTACAGTATGTTCGGGGTATGTATCATGATTATGTTTTCCACGCTGACAGTTCCTGTGCTGTGGATTTCCGTTTTCGTTCGCCTACCCTGTTATGGTAGCCCCCCTCACCAGGAGGGTGAGGGAGGACTGAGGTTGGGCTCAAGTTTGCAGACCCAGGTGCTAGGGGGAAAAACATGACGGTAGCAGGTAAATAAAGAGAACACAAAGTATCAAAAGAACATAACATGGGAAAGTACGGTACTTGGATATGTATGATATGTAGTGTAGTGTAAATGAGCGTAGCTCGTAGGTAGTGTGGTAGAGTCAAGCCAAAACGCACAGTGTCTGTCAGCGTAGCATTCTACCAA